ATAGGACCATTCTTCTAGATCTAAAAGTATGATCCAATTAGCGCGAAGGAAACTTCCAACAGTTGCAAAACAAACGTTCTGCTGAACGCAGCCAATGCAAAATAGATCACGATCATAATTGACGCATGATATTCGTCAATTTTTATTCACGTGATCTGTATTGACGTTAAAAATGAGCGTCGAACATCGGCATGAAAAGGCACCTCAGGTTCCTTTTTAAAATTTGGGGCAACGTTTTGATTGGTCAAAGAGCAGCCGCCGTTCAAGACGACTGCGCATCCATGGGATTGAAATATCTTGTATTAGGCCGAAATCAGATTACGCATTGAATATTGAGATTGAAGATCGAAAGATTGAAATTTGACCAATTAAGGGCCACTGTCACTCAGTTGATCTAACTAGGCCAGTTAGTCCATCGGAATTGACCAATCGTATTTGTCATTTTGTTTGAAGAATTGACAGATTGGTTAATTCCGATGGATTAATTGGCCCAGTTAAGTTAACTGAGCTTGGTGACAGTGGCCCTAAAATAATAGGAGCTAAAATTCCTTTGTCCTCACTGATCAAATTTTAATCTTCAATCTTCAATCTCAATCTTCAATGCGTAGTTTGATTCCGGCCTTAGGGTGAAATCACACGGTGCGGAAAAGGACTACGGAATAGAGAATGCGTCATTGAAGCAACCAATCAACGCTATTCAGCGCTATTAGGAATAGCGCTGATTGGTTGCTTCAATGACGCATTCTCTATTCCGCAGTCTTTTTCCGCACCGTGTGATTTCACCCTTAGGTCTGTTCGCATTAAGTGCATAATTTTGCGTCAAGTGGACCGCAGCCTATAACCGCTCACTGAGCGTTCAGTAAACTCTTGTATCTGTTTGGTCTATATTTTTAGTTCTAACGGAATATGCCAATCAGATGCAAGCGCTCACTGAGCGTTCTGAAATTCAAGAATTGGAAATTTTTTTAGTTCTAGTGCAAAACTGGAGACTTTTTAATTCTAACTTAGAGATTTGTTCTGTCAACAAGTTGGCAACACTATCCGTGATCGTTGTGCATTTTTCACACTCATCATCACTATGTTGTCTCTATGCTTGATTTTTGGACGGTTCGTAATGGGGTTAGAATAGAATTTGGTGCGTGTGAAATTTCATGATTACGTCGCTCATAAATTAAAGGTAGTGCGATAAGTGCGAAAGTAACAATCGCGAGTACGAGACTTTCGAATTATCGGTTTTTTCTATATACATATTGTGAATATGAGCCGTAGAAGAGTACACGACGAAGATGACGGCTACGGTAAGCGTTATTTGAAGTTATCGCTATTTTCCTGATGCTCTGATTCACCATTGATTATCACTGGATGCGTTCCACTTGGCGTTCATAAAAAAATCATGGTGGAATTAGATAATGAAAAAAATGATTTTACAAGCGTTACGAACGCAAAAAGGAACGCAGCCTATGATGTTTGAACAAAAAACTATTCATAAACATATTACTTTCATTCCATCTTTTTTAAAATTTTATTCAGTATAATTTGTTTGATGTCTCTCAAATTTTCAAATGAATGACAATCGATTTAGATCTTTGTTTATTATCTATTTCTAAGAGATTATTTCTAAAGCTTCTTCAATAAGATTCTACAATGAGCCGGTAGTAGTTTGTAGTCCGAAGTCTTATTAGTGAATCGGTGAAGTTGGCCAACAGCCAACTTGTACGAGTAAGACTACCGATTTTCTTAAGACTGACCAAATTCGACTTTATTCCTTCCTACTAATCAAGTTAACTCGCTGTACAACTAACAACTAGATGCGAAAAATCATAGTCATCTATTTAGGCTAAAACTGGTTAAGACTTAAAATTTCCGATTACCGATTCATTGTAGAATCAGCTTTAAAGATTGATTGAAAAGTTCTGTCATTTGTGCATAAAACCTCATCACTCCATCTTTGCATCATTAAAAGAATATATGCTCCTATTCAATTAGCATTAGTATTTTAAGTCAATACTTTACAATCAAAGGTAATTATGTGGGGGGTAGCAAAGAGAAGAAAAAGAGGAGGAGGAGATAGACATACACAGCATGTATACATACGACTTATAAATCTGATCAAGCAATCTCTATGTTATATATGGGTAATGCTAATGCTGGCGGCTATTGTAACTTTTAAGTCTCATAACTTGAAAAATACTGATTAAAGAGAGACTGTATTATAGTATCTTGAAAACCTTTTGACACTAGCTATTAGATTCTGAATTAAAAAGTAGGGTGTTTCATCTTAAAAAATCGATTTAACTTTGACCTGACCTTGGTGATGCCATTCAAGGTCGAACTGATAAGATCTGTAACTAAATCATTTTAAACCCTACAACTTTTATATGAAACAGTTTTCTTAGAAATGCTTACTTTTCAAGATATTTAGGGGGTCCGCGACTTTCTATACACCCTGTACATATATATGTATATATATATATATATATATGATTATATATGCAGGGTTCACAGATATAATACTAAGAATGTGAACTTTAGGTGATATGATTCGATAACTTTAAGTGCTTATAATTTAAAAACTATTAAAGAGAGCTTCGGCATTTTGGTACTAGAATTTTTGTCTCAAAATGATTTCAGGAATCTACCTTTAAGTATTATTACGGTCTTTACCGAACATCCTGTATGCACTTATGTACATATACATATACCTTATATACTTCTACTCATAGACATATATCCACACACCCATATATACATTCACATACATACACACATATATATATTTATTCTTTTTTAGATCGAGTATATAAGAAACGTAGGAGAGTATCAGAAAATCAAGAGATTGAAGATCGTCTTGAATCTCTTATCCTTCGTGTCGGAGAGAAGTCAACATCATCTTTAGAAAGCAACTTAGAAGGTTTGGCTTCTGTGTTAGAAGCCGATCTAGGTGTGTTTCGCAGCAAGATTCTTCGGATTTTAACAGATTGTGCTATTAAGATGCCAGAGAAATGCACAATTTATACCACTCTCGTCGGGCTGTTAAACGCGAAAAATTTTAATTTTGGTGGAGAATTTGTTGATTATATGGTGAAAAATTTCAAGGATTCTTTAAAAGCATGTAAATGGGATGTAGCTAGATATTCTCTTAGATTTCTAGCTGATTTGGTAAATTGCCATGTTTTATCATGTGGATCGTTGATGCAGTTATTTGACAATATGTTGGATGCTGCAAACGAGGATGGTGTACCACAAGTGAGACGCGATTGGTATGTGTAAAACTTACTTATGTAGAGCCATCTCTGTTGTATGTATTACGTATAATAAATAGTTTTTATTAGTAATTACATATAATTTGCAGGTATGTTTATGCTGTTTTATCGACACTGCCATGGGTTGGAAGAGAATTGTATGAGAAAAAAGAACAAGAATTGGATCATCTGATGGTTACAATAGAGATATTTTTGAATAAACGAAGCAAGAAACATCAACCAGCATTGAGAGTATGGTCGAGTGACACACCTCATCCACAGGAAGAGTATTTAGATTGCTTATGGGCGCAAGTTCGCAAACTGAGACAGGATAATTGGGCCGAGAAACATATTCCACGCCCCTATCTTGCGTTTGATTCAATTCTGTGTGAAGCGTTACAACATAATTTACCACCTTTGATGCCACCTCCACACCATGAATCTTATTCTTATCCGTTGCCCACTGTCGTTTTTCGTATGTTTGATTATACAGACTGCCCTGCTGAAGGACCATTATTACCAGGAAGTCATGCCATCGAGAGATTTCTGATAGAAGAACATTTACGACAGATCATCAATAATTATTTTTTTGAGAGAAAAGATTGGTAATATATATTTGTATGTATTGAAAGAAACTGATCTATCTTCAGTCTAATAATATTTTATGAAGCAAAAAGATATAAAGACTTTCTCTCATAATTATTATTACTGTTATTCTCAATTTATGTGTAATAATATTAATTATTTTTATTTTACAGTGCTGCACAACTATTAAACTTTCCATTCAAAGCTAAAATTCCTTTAGACTATTGTATTGTCGAAGTAATATTCGGTGAATTATTTCGGTTGCCTACTCCAAAACATTTGGAGATTAGTTATGGATCAATTTTGATAGAACTCTGCAAATTACAGCCTTCAACTATGCCACAGGTTACGAACAATATAAATTATATAATCAAAAATTTAGTATTTGTTATCATTTACATAATACTAGCGAAGTACGATAGAAATAATATTTGAATTATGCTATATATAGGTACTAGCACAAGCTACAGAGATTCTGTTTCGTCGTATAGACAGTATGGCAGCTACCGCTTTCGACCGTTTTGTTTGGTGGTTCGCATATCATTTAAGCAACTTCCAATTTCGTTGGTCTTGGGAAGATTGGGATTCCTGCTTACAACGCGATGCAGAACATCCAAGACCAAAATTTATACGGGAGGTTCTGCTCAAGGCTTTGAGGTTAATATTTTGTATCTCGTCTTACAATGTGTACATATATATATATATTTTCCTTTTATTTATATATATATATATTAAATTTAGCTTGAATAATTCTTTATTAAAAACTTTTAAGATAATAAAAATCAATAATAAAATATCGAACTGTTTAATAGCTATATTATTAAATCTTTATAACGTAATTATAATAATTTACATAAACAAACTCTCTTTTTTATTATAAAAAGCAATTAGATTTTCAATTTTTCAATCTTTGTATGCAATTTTTAAACAAAATCTGATTATTCGGTTTATACAGTCGAATAAAATCCAGTTATCCGGCTTTACTGGATAAAATTCGGTTGTTTGACAAATCACTATCCGTTGCATCCGACAAATCATTACCCTAAATAAAATCTCATACAAAGTTCATATTTTTAGATTGTCATATTATCAAAGGATCCGAGATATGATGCCAGATTCGTACACAGAATTGATTCCAGCAGTTCCCGAGCCTGTGTATAAATATTCATCTGAAGGTGCTAGTAAGTATATAACAGAATAAAAATCAAATATATAAATTTAAGACTTAACGAAATGTATATGCTATAACTTATTTTATGTGATATCAAATTAGTTTTTTTTTATAGATACAGAGAGAACGGTATATATAATGTTATAATACATTAATATATTAACAAATTATTTCAGGTTCACTCCCTGGTACATGTGCAGCACATGAATTAGTAGTTTCTATAAGACGTAAATGCACACCAGAAGAAGTATTAAATGTATTAAATACATTACCTGGTCCTAGAGAAAACGAAGAAACGAATAATTACAATCCATTAAAGATCGACGTCTTTGTACAAACTTTACTGAACCTCGGTTCGAAAAGTTTTAGTCACAGTTTTGCAGCTATAGTAAAATTTCATTATGTTTTCAAGGTAAAGTAATATTACTGCTGTACAATTAAGCTCTAAAATTAAGATGCATGTGCACATATGCCCTTCACATACGTATTTCTCATTCATAGGTGCTTGCTGAAACGGAAGAAGCACAAATATGTATATTAAGAAACATGTACGCTTTGTGGAAGAATCATTATCAAATGATGGTAGTACTAACGGACAAGTTTTTAAAAACTGGTATCATTGAATGTAGTGCGATCGCCAATTGGATATTTTCCAAAGAGATGGCATCAGAATTCACAAAGTTCGTATTATTATGTCTGAATAAAATACTTATTCATTTATTTAATTTCGAAATATCACAATTGTGGATAAATATCAAAAAATGTCAATATAAAAAACTTCCATTTCCAGGTTATATATTTGGGAAATATTGCATTTGACAATACGTAAAATGAACAAACATGTGACGAAGTTGAGTACGGAATTAACAGATGCAAGGGAGAAACTCAGGAGAGCGGAAAGTAGGTCGGGCTCTTCTTCAGATGAGGAGGACAATAATAAAGAGAGAAATAGGGAAAGAAAGCTGCGCAAGCAGATCAGAAAAATTTATTTCTCATTATATTTCAGGTATTAAAAAATCTTATATTTTAAATCGCTTTTATTAAAAGTAAATTGCAAATTGTTGTATTTTTTCAATACGATGTAAAAGAAATTCTAAAATCTATTTTAATAACATGTTATAATATATTAATTTATCTTTTTTCAGCGTTTTATAATGATTCTATCAGAACATTTAGTGCGTTGTGACACAGACGGAATTGACTATAACACACATTGGTATAAATGGACTGTAGGGAGATTGCAACAAGTTTTTTTATCTGTAAGTTATAAATTCATTATTATGTAATGCCTGATTATTATTATACTATGTGAATGTTCAATAATTACGGAAAATATTGATATATACAGGATGTCCCAGAATGATCGCAAAATTTCGTGTACAGGTAGAGCAAACTAAATTGTCAAAAGTTATGTACTATTTTACAATATTTGCAATAGTTAACGAGGTATTAATTTTTAAAGATTATCGAATAAACATGTCCGCCTGGCCTATTACTGCCACGTGTCCATAGATTGTTCAGCGCGCGGGCTGCAGGAAGATTATCTGGTAAGCGCGCCTCTCGAGTCATGATGTTTAGCGACTCGCAGAGTGCGCAGCGCGGAACGTCGAGGCAGTCTCTGCTCCTCGCGGCTTTAAAAATTAATATCTAGTGAACTATTGCGAAAATAACAAAATAGTGGAAGACTTTGACTCGTTTACTCCGTTATACCTGCACACGAAATAATTTGCGGTCATTTTGAGACATCTTGTATGATATTAAAATATTAAAATAATATATATATATAATTTTTGTCGCAAATTGGAAGACATTGATTTGTATTTGTTTTGCAGCATCAAGAACAAGTACAAAAGTATTCCTCGACTTTGGAAACTTTACTGTTCACTCCGGACCTTGATCCTCATATTTTGGACGTCTTTCATCAATTTGTTTCTCTACGAGCATAAAATAACATATAAATATTGTGTTTACATCAAGTACATTTATAAGTTATTAAGCTACATCAAAGTACATTTAAATCAATAAGCTAAGTTACAATAAAGTACATTTTTGGAGTGTTTATTTGTATTACTTTTCATCTGATTATATTCTGATACTCAATGTTGAATCATAAGAAATCACACGATGCGTAATAGGTCTGCGAAATAGAGTGTATCCATCACCCTCGCCGATTTTATCGGCGGTCCTCTTGTAAGTATATTCACCCGTAAAAAAAAACGAGTTACTAATAAATTTAATAGTTCGTTTTTGCAAGTAAGTATATTTTTAATTTATTGTTTTATATCTAATTATTTTATTGTGTTTCGCTAATCCTTATTACATTAACTTTTATAATATTATTTTTTATTGTAATCTTTTATACAATACAATATTACAATAATAATAGTTTACAATATACAATTATAAATGCTGTTCAAAATATAATAAAAATATTATAGGAGCATAATTAACAAATTGAGTAATGCAGGATTATACGAAACGTCGGAAATACATACGATAACACAAATTTTTCTAAACTTATGTTTAATGAAATATTGATAAACGCGGAATGAAATTCTTACAACAATTAGATCATATTCATTATTAATTATTAACTTGCGATTATAAAACTTATTAATATCACGATAAAAAGTCATTAATATATTTATGACAGCATTTTCATCGTGTTCAAGATAATTATCTCAATAATTTGATCAAGGTCCTTCCTTGTGATATGCTGATTAGTATCCGTTACAAAGAAGAATAATCTTCATAATGGAGCGAATTTAACATGTGTATATGATTCTACGTTAAATTCACAAGATCCATTCGCAAAGAAATGTTAAGCAATCCGTCAAACATCAGCGGTTAACAGGAAGGTATGAATTCCGAATCTTCCAGACCACTTACGATAGTAATAATTTTGAAATGGATTTAGATTTTCAGAAATTTCAATCCTGAATGTATTTTTATTCATTTACAGGAATTGCATCGAGCGTATCTCTATGCTTTTCAATCTAAAAATAATATCAGCTTTTTCTGTGCATTGTGAATACCGTTCAGTTCAAAATTTTGACTAGGAAATGCAGTTTTTCAATCCAATTGCATCCAATTGAATCCAATTAAATCCAAAAAAAGTCTTCGCTATTTAAAATACGCATTCGGATAGAAAAAATTTCAATCCATTTTAATCCATTCTCGTTTACTGGAGATTACTCGTAACTCGTACGATTAATTATTCATAAAAGGATCGAGACGGAGAACAGATATTTCGTATTTCATTTGAAATCAAAACGCGATGCAAAACAGAATTTATTACTATTTCGCGATAATTACAAACAAAAATTATTTTTGTTTAACGTAAAATTTTTGTCTCGCTTGAGTATAGCTCTCGATTATATTTCGAACGGTATCACACGAGTCATAAAAAAGCAACGTTAATAAATACTTTTTAATAAATAAATATGCAAATAACGGGCAATTGGAACGCAACTTGTGTCGTCGTGTGCACGAAAACGTTTAAAATACCCACTATAGTGCAGACAGTGCAGCTACAAAAAACAAACATCGAGTTGAACGAGTCTCTCGGACTCTTGCTCGAAAGATCATTGTTTTTGTCACGTGTTCTAACGTCCTTGTTTTTATGGTTTTTATGTTGATCGCGGCGAGAATGTGAATTGTGAGAATTGCCGTGACAAAATTACATGGGTAAACGTGGACTTATTAGTGAAAATCACAGTGTGCGGAAAATAGCGAAAATGCAAGAGCCACGGTATATCGCGAAAGCGTGTCAGGACGAATTTTACACCGCTGCCGCGAAATATTGGGACCGCATCCCGCCCACAGTGGATGGAATGCTGGGAGGCTTCGGATTTATTTCGCAGACTGATATAAAGGGCTCTATACTCTTTTTAAAATCTCTTTTCGAGGTATGTATCGTTATAATCTAACCTATCACACCTTCGTAGTTCGTAAATCTATTTCAACATTTGCATGTTTGATAAAGAAAGTTGGTAATTATTTAAAAGACGCTTTTCAATTTCAATAAAATTATGCTCATATTCGACGTGTTTTTGCATGAAAGAATCTGGCAGTAAAATGTGCTCAATCCCGGGCATGCTTTGCGGTCACACTTTCATGCTTTGCAGTCATATATGCATGTGCTTTAAGTATTTCTCGCTGTTTATCTGTCTGTTTTAAAAATACAAATTCTCTGCTTTAAAAGTTTAAATTGTTTAAAACATGAATTCTCTTGGTAATTATCCAGAAGACACTCCTCAAATTATATTCATTCGACGCATTTTTGCATGAAACGACAGAATCTAGCTGTAAAATGTTATGCTCAGTCCTGCAAAGCAAGATATTGATCATTAAAGTTGACCACTATTGGGGGAGGGGGGGAGTTATGAAACCTGTCATATTGATCTAATCAACTTAACATAATGAACTGCACATGTGCTGGTAGATCACATATGCATGCTAGATTCCAAAAAGATTAGACAGCCTCCTAGGCAAGATAGAGCACAGTAGAACGTATATTGAATATATGTATTAAATTTTCGCCTTACTAAATGAATGAGTCTAAAATATACTAAAAAAAAATAGATTCGGAAAAGTTTAGACAGATTCCTACGCAAGATTTCTCTTAATTTTGCATGAAACACATTTCACTTTTATTTATAATTGAAACAGTTCAGATAAAAATGTTGAAAAAATCAATTTTAAGAGTTGGAATAAATTGTAGATTTAATCTTCTGAAGCTGACAATGAATTAATTGGACCTACTTGATTATATTCTTTATGTTATATCAGCAAATTGAATTATTGTTATTAAAATAGACTTAGTATTTATTTTTTACACAAGTTGTCATTTTGATCCCTTGAAATTAATTAATGTCTTTTAATTAATACAAATTAAATGAGTTATAGATTCAGCGTCAGTATCTGTGTTATAGATTTTAGTTGAACTTCTTGCACACTTCATCTTTTTCCTTTTTTTTCTTTAATGTGGAGAGAAAAGGAGAAAAGATAAACTGTACAGGAAGTTCAACTAAAAAGAACAGGCCTTTTGGCTTCATTTCTGGAAAGTTAAATATGGAAAAAAACAAAACATGTTAAAAAGAATTGTTCTGTTTTAGATAGAAAATCCACCTTCTAAAGCATTTGCCTTAGATTGTGGTGCTGGTATTGGTAGAATTACGAAGAACTTATTACTAAAATTTTTTAAACATATAGACCTCGTTGAGCAAAATCCAAAATTTCTAGAGGTAGCAAAAATCTCCCTGGAAAACTGTTCGTCAAGAATCGGCCAATATTATCCTATTGGTAATAAATTTATATTAATATTCTATAAGAATATTAATCTATCTAATATTCTATAAGACTAAAGTTTGGCATAACATACATATAAATATACTCGTCTTTTTTAAGGATTGCAAAACTTCTCTCCTACACCAAATAAATATGATCTTATATGGTGTCAATGGGTATTGGGACACTTAGAAGATAATGATTTGATAGAATTTTTTAGAAAATGCTCGTGAGTTATATTTTTGTTCTATTACAGAGGAAACACGAAGCCTTATTTCTTACCTTGTAATTTGGATTTGCAGATTGAGCTTGAAAGATAATGGTGTGCTCGTGGTGAAAGAAAATGTCACAACTTCAAATAATATGGAAATTGACAAGGAAGACTCTTCCGTAACGAGACCAATGAAAACCTTACGGTCTTTATTTGAAAAGGCTGATCTTATTTGTATTAAGGAACAACAGCAAACTAAATTCCCACGCGGTTTATATCCGGTTCACATGTTCGCCCTTAGACCAAGAAATCAGTGAATTAGTCAATAACGCGCAATACAAATCAAATCTCTGATTACTGTAACCTCTTGGATATCTAAATTATTTTATATTTAATTTTATTTTCTTAAATTATTTTAGTTTACTTAAAAATAACTTAATTTTATAAAACGAAGGAAGTCGAAAAGAAAACTCGTATATCATACATTTTTTTTATACGTAGAAAGAAAATAAATATTAACTCTATAAATTCATTTTATACAAAAATGATGTTGCATAATTACAATAAATACATGTTTCGCAGTCAATTGCGTTATTGCATCATTCAGCAGACCTTTGTAAAAAAGTAGTTAAGAAATTTAGAGGAAATAGGCACAATAGAGAAGCTATCATTTTTCTCTTGTCGCTTATTTCTTACAGCTTCAAATTAAGCTGTAAGAAGTAACAGCACGAGAAAAATATCAGGGCGCTCCGGGATTCAAACCGAGACCTGGTCTTATAACACTGAGACACAACCGTGTCTCCAGATTGCTAAATATCCATCTTTGCCACCAAGTCACACAGTCTGATGCCGATAAGTTTTTTTGTTGTACCTATTTCCTCTAATTTCTTACAATAGTTTACTTTGGCCGTATTTTTTCATACATAAAACGCTGATTTACGTCTTGAGGGGAAGCATTTATAAGTCGTCTTTTCACAGCATGAAAATGTTCCAAAGCGAAATTATAGAATTCATTTTCCATCTTCCATACAACCGATTGCTGGATTATGTCTACTGTTTCAGGTAGTGGATTGAGTTTTTGTGTAGTTTGTCGTAAGTGTGACTTGTTATCTAAAAATCAAAGAAAACATCGATGTCTTTTTATATTATTTCAACTGTGATAATGTAATAAATAAAAAATTATATTATCCCTTTTAATTTATTTATTTTCACAAATACTTACTGTGTAAGAAGAAGTTGTATGCCCCTCTAAAAAACCGTGGTAATACATTTTCCAATACTTCTACAAACTCGTTTAACTCCTCCGTTACTCCAACTAGGAAGTAATACCTTTGTAGATTTCGTTTGGCTTCCTCTAATGCCCAGCTATTACCAATTTCCCTATAATGAAAGAAATAAAGTACACTAATAATGGTTATTGCATCTTATTCATTTAAGAAATATAAAATTGAGATATATATTTTTATATATATATATATATATAAAAGATTTATTCAAAATGTTCTATTCCTAAAACTATTTTAAAAGAAGAAAATTTACCAACAAGCTGGATCGTGACCACATAAAAATGGAATCTGCAGCCACATGTTATTAGGATCACAGTCAGGTTGACCACTATTTATACATTCGTCAAATGTCTAGATAAAATAATTTGATTATATAAATTTTTATTCTGTAATTAGTGATACAATAGAAAAGAGAGAGGGGATAATTTTATGAAAAAATAAATCGGCGTAAAATAAATTTGTTTTTGTGATACAATTGGAAAGGAGGTGATTCTACATGAAAAAAAAATATAGAATAAATTTTTTCACACGAATTATTTTCGAAAATTGACTTTAAATATTCACTAAGTACATGTGTCCCGACTTAACACATCTCACTGTAGAGTGTAGACCATTTCTCTGTTCATGTTTGTCTTATTAGTAATCAAGAATAGACAAAACAGGACATTCATGTACGATGAATTTTATTTTGACTTTATAAATTGCTGAAAATATTGCCCGAAAACAAAACCTTGTATGAAAAAATTTTTTTACGTTTTTGCAACTTATTTTTTCGTATGGACTCATCACCTTTCCCACTAGCTATGGAACACCCTGCGTGCGTGCATGCGTGCTACAAATGAATACACAAACCTTTGTATCTCCATGTTTCTTCCTTATAACATGAGGTCTAAAATTATCTCCGTATCTTAAAAAGTAATAATATGATATAAATCTGTCTAAAGGTTTCCTCAGTAAATTTATATACAAAGGCATACGTTTAGTACCAAATCTGGAAAATAAAATATTTGGTAAAACAAATAGTCATTTTATTTTGCGGAAAAGATGTAACCTCGCTGTACCTACTTTCCAAAATTTAAAAACGCCATGTGTCCATGGTAAAATGCTGGCTTTATACCATTCCAGTTTGATATGTTGTTTGCAAATTGAACCTGTATACAATATATCTGTATTAATAATAACTATCAAATAAAATATACAGACTTATTTTCTCACATCAGACGTGTCATGAGACATAGAGAACGCTTATATATCTTACTCTACAGAAAGAATATATTTCGAAAAGTAATTATGTGCTTTTTAATAAGATTCTAATGCAAAAAACTAAAACAAGCTACAACTAAGCATTGCATAAATCTTCCTTAATATATAATGCACCTGGTTAGCAAAAGTAAGGGTGTGCATGTTATTGGTCACGTTAATGTGGAGCACATGATACTTATTCTGCTTGCACAGGTCATAAACTAATCCCATGAAACTAGTGGACGCTGTCTTTGGTACTCTGTTGTATATCACAACAACGTCCTCTAGATCATCCTCGATACTTCTTCGCGCCTCAGCGTGTTCGTTGTTATACCTAGCATCGATTCGCGCGACAGCATCATCTGGAAAGAGACTTTTGTTACTGCTGTTCAACTGCGAGCGAATCAAAGCTGACTACGTTCAAAGTTACATTTGAACACATACGGAGCGATCTGTAGCTCTCCTCCAGGTCGTTTAATCGCTGTCGCAGATAGACTATTACGATGACGAGAATCAGGATCAGTACCCATTGCGCGAATGGCAAGTTCCTCAGTATCATCTTACGTCGTCGCTCAAATCATACCTATCACCCGCGTCGGCCGCCCGCGAGCGTGCCGTGTTCGAAGCCGAACCGCGAGAGCTCGAAATGTATATACCAGGTGTCCACGCAGGGTATCCTTCCTTTCCCGTGTATCGGTCCTTTCTTTATAAAACGCTAATCTTTATACGCCAACGTTCGATCGTCGACACGTCGACAGCTGTTGAATTGTAACTGTAACTAGTATACTATAATGCAATAAGTACTTTATGCCGCGGCCATCGGCAAAATCGGGCAAAGCGAATGACTTTTAGGTTAGAAAATCACGCGAAAACATATTCTGCGATCACCCTCGAAACTTGGCTACGATTGGTATTCCTGCCATTCATTTAGCTTTCCGCATAATTACAAAAGTCGGTAACAATATCTTAAAATATAATAAAATAAATTATATAACCCGTATATACATATATATATATATGTATATTTTAGATTATGTATAATATGAACTATAAATGTACATTTTATATAATATACACAGCGAATGCAAAAAGTACAGTGTAAACGTAGCCATTATCCGGCGAGAAATGACTCATTAAATTGATGTCGATACAATTTCGACACCAATTCGACATGAATTCGACGGTCATTTCTTGCTGGGTAATTAACAATTTATTCATAAAAAATAAAATACTGTTTCTCAAAATTACATATATCAAAAAGATGTGCCTTAATTATAGAAAATATATCATCTCAAAAATAAGCGAAAGTTAAAGATTGTATTGTTTGGACGCTCAAAAAGTATTCGTACAGTCGAAAAATTTAGCTTCTAATTTTGGAATACATCCGAAGCTCATTTGTTTTGTTAGAACAGAATGTATTCATTGTATACAATTGTTAATTAATGTTTATTTTCTACAAATAAGGCTTTTTTTTATAAAAAGTTTTCTTGTAAGAGGTACTTTTTGCAATCACTGTATATGTATATGCAAGGGGTTCCATTTTAATAAAAACTGAAATATCTTGAAAACGAAGCAATTGATACAACTTCAAATAAAAGTTATATCAATTTAAAAAAAATCAATTTTATATATTCCCTTTCAAACTTTTGTCTGAACTAGGTACTTTTGTGTCAATCGCTTCGTTTTCATCATATACACTGTTTTTATTAAAATGAGACGCTCTATATATATATATATATATAAGTGCAAAAAAATATTTGTATAAGAAAAATATCTTTAAAAATCTTATTTTCAGAAAACATTAATTAGCTATTTTTATTAATAAGATTGGTATAACATAGGCCAGAGGCCTAACGTAAGAGGAAGAAGAAACTATTTTTATTAATGCTGAATATACTTATTTGTTAACAAATTGCTAAGTAATTTATTTATTTTCTACAATTCTTTTTTTTTTATAAAGCCCCTCCAAGTACGAATACTTTTTGCATTCGCTGTATATATGTGTATGTCATAATATATAATTGGTAATTATTTTATAGGAGACAATGATTGAAGTAACAACATTAAGAATATTAATGTATACATTTTATAATGAACTTTAGGGTAAAAAAGGTTTGAGTCTAGTACATGATCGTGATTAATAATTCCTATAAATACATTGTCGCAGATTTGTTCTTTTTTTAGCACAATATATATATCACAAATCTCATTATCAATTTATTAAATAGTTCATATGATATCTATATAATAATTATTCATAAGTAGGTATACATTAATTACACATATTAATTGTGATTTATATACATTTTTGTGCACTAGAGCGGTGTTACGACATCGTGCATTGCGTACCTCCATGTCCATGCCCTCGCTACCTCCTCAAACTTTTCACGATCGCTCATATACATTTCTCCTAATTCTGGTTCCATACACACCTATTAATAACAGTATCATGTTAATAATAATATATCAACATTAATTTAAATATATTATTACTAGTCTTGATAAGTATATAAACATACATCAATATATAGCATCAATTTTTAGATTAATTTTAATATTAAAATTTTTTGTCATATATAAATTGAAATAAATTAAATAAAATATTTAAAATATTTTTATCGAACAGATTGATTCTGATTTCAAAATAATATACTTACTTGGCAGTACGGATCCGTAAGCAGACTCTGTACACTAATAAGAACTTTAGATATTGTGAGAGCTAGCGACCAATTATGATGTATCGAATCAATACCAACGTCTCCGTGTCTTGATACGTTTGGGTGAAGTATTTTTGTTAGAAATCTCACTATGGGTGGGCACATGGGAT